CCAGACTTGTAGTACTTGAACAAACCCCTCAATGGTGTACGACGACTTCCAAATTTCTTTCTCCTTCACCGACCGCATCAGGTTTTTGAAGGCCACTCTTCCCCAAGGGTAGTTTTCAAACGCTTCTAAATCCATCACAAGCCTTGCCAACCTAGCCCGAGTAGCTGAAGATGGCTTTCGTGCTTCAATGTAACTAGTATAAATGCTAAGGTATCCCAGCCTCAACCGATCCTCGGAAGACCACGACCCGCATTCCTTACAAGCTTCTATCAAATCTTCAGTGCTCGGGCCCAACTCCTGATTGACTCCCAATCGCTCCCAGAAATCTTTCATCTCATCAGTTATCTCAACCACCGGATCCTCGAGGTTGTCCACGTAGTCGCAATTCAAGCCAGTAATATGTTCGAACTCATTCAAAGAAAAGCGGATCGGGATTAGACCTACGAGGCTCCAAATCTCAAATTTTTTCTTGCAAACTAGCTGCATGTCGAGAATGTAATGCACCAGTCTAGATGCCCAGCCGAAATCCAACTAACTGAACTTCAAGAACACTCCCAGTCTAGAGTTCAATATCTCTTCCCACTCATCTTGTGTGAGTGCTTCCTCGAGTGCAGTCATCAGCTTCGTCTCACCGCTATAGTAACCGATGCTTTTCAGCGGAGACGGCTCATCGCCTTTCGAGAAGAGACGCGGGGGGAACTCTGGGTTTTCCATTGGCTGTTCTGACGTCTGCAAAACGAAGTCCAAAATTTAAGAAGTCTACTTATGAAGACTTCCGAAGAAGTCTGCAAACGAAGTCAGCTAACTAAGTCTGCAATTGAAGTCTGTAGACCTAATAGTGTAATTAAAAAAATTTCAAAAATCTAGCCGCCGACAAAGTTTTCTAAAAAAACACAACCCGTTTTGAACTCCGTTTTACGAGATAATACTTCCAAAATAGTTCGCCTAAACACTATACAAGTCCGTTTAATAAACAAAAAAAAGTACAGATATCTCTAATTCACAGCAACTAGAAACTTGGAAACGGGTATTCGATTTTTGTCCGACTTTGGAAATATCTACTCGGTGGTGTCCGATTTTTATAAAAACCGATGTAGAAACCCAAACGACTAGGAACTTGGAACCCGTAAAGATATTTATTTACAAATTATAATAAATTAGTACAGCCAAATACCTTTCCACGACCAACGGCGGAAATGAACAGACGGCGAAAATAAACAGTTACGGACGGCGGCGACACCAGATCTAGAATAGAAAGCGAAGGAGATTAGGGTTTGTGAATTACACAGACAACTTCTATCCGAAAGAGAAGTCGGCATTAAATTCGACTTACCTTAAACGGTAAACGGATGTACAGTAAAAACCGGCGACAAGTTCCGAGAACTAAACCCAAAGGACAGTAGTTTTTTTTTTAACCGATTTGTGTTAGTACAGTGTTCGTAGAAAGTCTTATATATGACCGTAGAAACCTATTTAACCGTCGTACCGGTTCAATAACCGTCGTACCATTTCAATAACCGTCGTACCAGTTCAATTACCGTCGTACCAGTTAAATAACCGTCGTACCAGTTCAATGTGGTTTATCGATTTCGTTATTTAAAACGCAATTGGTTTAGCCAATTATAGCTGGTTTGCAATATAATTTTAAAACTGTCTGGTTTAGTTTATTCGACATATTAAGTCTGCTTAAGAAGTCTGCATATTAAGTCTGTTTAAGAAGTCTGTCTACGAAGTCTGCATATTAAGTCTGTTTAAGAAGTCTGTCTACGAAGTCTGCATTTGTTTTTTATTAATATCATATGAAAAGTAGTTTTAGAGATTGTATGTATAGACCCTTAACTCACGGCCTGCATATGTACACAATACACAAAATGCACATAGATTCCCCAGTATACGAACAACGTATATGCAACAGTAAACACTAACATTAATCACCATAGAAGTCAAATACATATGTTTTATCCCAACTAGTCTACTTAAAGGTTACACAAGTCTCTTGGTCCTCTATTCTACATCCCAACGCATGAAAACACAAGAGATTACTGCAAAAATAACTAAAAAAACACAAAGTAGGATATCAGAACCTCGATTAGCAAGTGCTTCTTTCACTCCAGCAATTTCACTCTGAATGAACCCTATGAACTCCTCGATCTCGCTAATGGTCTTCTCGGTTGCAGTAAGGCGATCCTCCAATGCATACAGCCGATTCTCATATGATTGCAGAAAGGTTGTTCGGTTGTCACGGAACATGCTTTCGCTCTGCTTATCAATTCGTATTTGAAGAATGGTCAGCTGCTCTTCAATGGCTAGATCCCACCATTTGGAGATGTGAACCGGTTTATCCTACACATATGACAAACGAAAACTTCAGTTATACTCGATGAATAACATTAAAACTATACACATATTGACAAAAACCTCATCAAAACTATACAGATTCGCCTAATATTTCAGGGAAACTATAGAACTTCCTGCCAAACGTCTCTGGAGCTGTAGACTCTTCCAATCTACATCGAAGGCCGCAATAGCATCGTTCAGGTATCCCAAAGTCTCCATCAGCTTTGGCACACCCGCTGTCATAGCTTGCTTTGGAAGATGAGCTGTTGGTGTAGCTTATCGGCATTACTCTGTAGAGATCAAGCAAACAAACTTGGAAGTTAACAAACATAAAACTAAAACATTTATTACCACATAATAACTTTGCAGCTAAAAACAAAAAAACAAAAACAAGCTTTCCAAACAAATATTTCTTACTCGCTAAACAACAAAATAACAAAAAAGGTAAATCTTGAAATAAAGAAAAAATCAAAATATTTTTACTTACTTGCTCACGGAATCTGTGAAAAAAGTATTTTTACTTAGATCTGTAAAAAAAAACAGTAAAGCAAAAGGACAAAAGAACAATTTTAAAGGACAAACCAGTAAACAATAAGATACAGACTAAACAGAGAATGTAATGGCGAATAACTCACAGATCTGGAGAGATAACTAAGAACGATGAAGACGCCGGCTGAGATCTGCAGCAACAATATATGTAGTGATATATATGAAACAACATATGCATCAGAAACAGAAAAGAAGAGATGGGGAGCGCCGGGAAAGGCTTACTGCGAGAGAGAGTCGCGGCGAGAGAGACCAGAGTGCAGCGCCGTTTTACAGTGATCTAGGTTTTTTTATTTATGGTAACGACTGGTAAGTTTCTTTATATACTATGTTAAAAATTCCGGTTAGGTTAATTATTCTGGTTTGACTAGACTTCGATCCGTAGTCTGCTGAGCAGACTGATAAAGAAGTCTGCAGCCCTAGTTTAAAACTTTTCACTTTTTATGTTTATCCTAGATGGTTAAAAATGATTCATATTTATTAAATTATAATTTTTATAGATCATACTTGTTGACATTTGATTTATAGAAACAAACTTCAGTTTACATTATTTTTATATAATTTTAAAATTTAAAATAAGATTTAATAATATAGCAGACTTCTTTATCAGTCTGCTCAGCAGACTGATAAATAAGTCTGCAGCCCTAGTTTAAAACTTTTCACTTTTTATGTTTAACTTAGATGGTTAAAAGTGATTCATATTTATTAAATTATAATTTTTATAGATCATACTAGTTGACATTTGATTTATGGAAACAAACTTCAGTTTACATTATTTTTATATAATTTTTAAATTTAAAAATAATATTTAATATTATAGTAGACTTCTTTATCAGTCTGCTGAACAGACTTCATTAATATTTGCAAGACTTCGGAGGGTTATAATCGTAATTGAGACATCCGTTTTATTGTTTACTCATGTAGGAGATAATGGTAATTTCTCTACCCCTCTGACCTATTTTTGCAATAGGTTGAATTTGGGGTATACTTTTGCATTTGAAATCAAATTGTGGCCTATTTTTAGCAATTCCCCCCAGAAAAAAAAAACTTAAAAATTATTATAGTTATGTGACAAAAATTTAGATATTGATGTAAGAATCTCTAAATATGTGTGTATACATCTAATTTAAATTTAAAATTTTCTATTTTAATATTATTTATTTTAGTTTTTTATTATTAACAAAAAAAATTATATATAATTTTTTTATCTTTAATAATTTTTAAAAATAATAATGGAATTTGAAAAAAAAATTAATTATTAATGTTGAGGTGGACCAATAAAAATTTTATATAGAATTTTTTTATTCAGCAATAATTAGAATTTGTAAACTTTCTTAATTTATTTATTTAGCAATAATATTAAAAATTTGTAAACTTTCCTTATTTTTGATTGTTGATGTGGACCAATAGAATTGTGCTTTTTAATCCTATGTGGACACCCTTAGAAGCATTTAGCTTCAACTTTTATTAGTATAAGATTATATTTTACAATCTTTAAAGTATTCTATTATACTTTCTAAATATGGACTTACCATATTCCATCATGCATAATTTTGTAATTATTGTATGTAATTGTTTTTGAATTATTTGAGTCTTCCCATATGACGAACCCTACTACTTTCCAAATTATATTTGAATAATCATATCCAATATTTGTATGAAATATGAAACTTTCCTATATTAATATCCCGAATGTAGTCTAATAATTTATTGAGACATTAAAATAATCTATATTACCTTAATTCCTGCGTTATATATATACTTTATATATATTCAAGATTTTTTTAATATAACGCATTGTTGCGTATACAGTTTATCATCGAATATTCTCTACTACTTTTGTAGTTGATTTGAAAACACAATTACATAAATCTGTTTTCCTTTTATGTCTTCAATACATATTGACTAGTTGTGTAAATAACTTTATCGATATGATAAATATATTTTGATTATATATGGGCATAATTTGATGTAAATAAATATCATACAATAATGGAAATTAAAAAAATATCTAAACACATTAATATTTTCGAGACCACAGATTTCTTACCCTTTTCTTATTCAAACCTTCAGTTACTATTTTCCAGAAAATCAAAAGCTCTGTGGAATACCCTTCAATGGAAGACTATGACCTCATTTCAGATCTGCATTCTGATCAGACAAACTGGACTATAAGATGCAAAGTTTTGAAGAAATGGCATGTAAAACATCCAAGGGAACGTCCATCGTTACAATTTATGTTGATGGACGAAGAGGTACTTATTTTATTGTTCTCTTATGTTGTTCTATTTTTGTTATATTACATTGAGATATTGGTTTGTATTTTCTAAATTATCTTATATATTCAGGGTGAAACTATTCAAGCTTATCTCTATATTACTGATTTAATCAAAGCTTTCGACAAGACAATTGAAGAAGGAGAATGGATAAGTATTTCAGAATTTGTGGTCTTTGATGAAACATCGGATGAACCAAATTCTCCTATTGGTAGTTGTATCAGGTTTTTAAATAACACTGAAGTGGATCACATAGATCCTATCGAATTTGATATTGCACAGGGTTTTGTTTCTTTTTCTGATGTGCTTGGTGGCAAAACAGAGCCTGGTATTCCTATCGGTATACTTATGCCTATTATTATTATAAATCTTATATTTCATTAGTATTTATCTTATTTAAGAAACTGACTACATAGCATATAAATTGTAATTTGATTTTCTTCTTCAGATATTCTCGGGTTTGTTATCAAAATTGATCCACTGGTCACGGTGAATGATGATTCATACCCTGAAAGACAGGATAAGAAGACTGCCAGTATATCTTTTACTATCAAGGATCATAAGTAAGTTTCCAATGTTTTTTTGGTTGATGTATTTGTTAATGAATCAGAAAACAGTTTATTTGTTAAATAATATGTTGTTGTAATCGATATGTAGAGGGTTATTGTTATCGTGTATTGCATTAGGACCACATGCAATTGATTTCAATGACAAGATCTTCAGTGAAAATCAATTACTATTTGTTGTTATATTAACCGACTGGTCTGTTAAACAACGAGAAGGTTAGTAGAAATTACATTATTAATATTGATTGATTATTGATTTATTTATTGTCATATCTATGAAATAACATTTATATTATTGTCATAGATGAATACTATATTCGGTCTAGAGGAGGGATTTCTAGAATCGAGTTTCATCCTGATTGTCCACGAGCCAAAACTTTGGTTAGAAGGTAAACTATTATATGCAGCTTATTTTAAACATAATCAAATATTTGGTTTTGTATGTTGGCTTACAATAATTGATTTATTTGCAGGTTTTGGAACACCCAGAATAAACCTACAAATGTCATTGATTTGGGTTGTAATGATGATGAGGCAAGTCCATCTTCCGTGAAGCCTAGAAACTGATCGAAAATCATATTTGATATTTCAGGGTGTTTAATTATTTACTTTTTTATAAATGTTTTTGTTTCTATCTTCGTATCTGACATGAATTTACTTATGGGATGTTGGAACCTTGCTTTTTATTGAATTTACTATTGAGTTTATGAAGTAACGAAAATGCTTTTCATTATGATTCTGTTGTCAATATTTATATGAACTCAATAATCTGAAATTTACTTTTTTTTAATACATGTTTTATAAATATGAACTCAATAATCTGAAATTTACCTTTTTAATGTTTAATAAAACTAAATATATACGGTTATGTTCTTTGGCAACATCGTAATCATAATATAATAATAATGCATGTTTTTGTCAAATATTTATTTTTCAGTAAATGTAACCAATTAATTTCATATCGTTTGGTAGTTGGATTATTGTTGAATACATAATTTTAGGACATGTGCATGCAAAGTGAAAATATTGACTTGATTTGATCGATATCTGATTTCAGCTTTCATTTATTGCTATTTTTGTTCGAAATTTTTTTGCATGTATAGATTCACATCGCATTAACTTCACTTTGATTTATATACATTTTGGTTACTAAACAAACTTATACTCAATTTAATTTTGAAATATATAATATATTGATGTCGATAAGAAAGTATATATAGTTTCTTAATTATTTATGAAAATAAAATATTACACAACTTATTAATATTGAAATTTAACTATAGAAAGGGAATTAATATAGTCTCTGTAACTTTGCATAAATATTAATTCGATTTGATAGAAATATGTTTGTATCGTTACATCTGTAACTTCCTTTTTTTTCCTTTCTGAATATAAACTGATACATCTACTGACAACCTCTTACACCGATTGAACTAGATTCGGTTAACTTATTCCTTTTTTAACAAAAGAAATCTTCCATTTTTGTATTTATTGCGATTAAATTTATTCCAACCATCGCGACCTTACTCAATAAATTTCCTACATCTTCAATATATATATCGTACCTTTAGTCGTCCATAACTTCATCCTTAACAAAGAGAAAAACCTAAAAAAACTTATCAATATCTCTGCATCAAAAAATGGCCGACTATTCAATGGTTAAAGATCTCACACCATGGGAGGAGTTCAAAGTGAAGGTACTCAAGAGATGGGATACGGTTGATTCAGAAGGCCATGAAGGAATGTATTTCATCTTGATTGATGAAATGGTAAGATTCGTTATTGTCCAAATAATTCATTTATATTTTGGTTGTTAATTGTTGTTTATTTAACTAAATATTATAATTTGCTAGGGATCTCGAGTTGCTGCTATGGTTAACAACTTCAAACTCTCTTACTACAAGAGGGTTTTCCAAGAAGATTTTTGGCTTCGACTTTCACAGTTTCGCTTGGTTAACTCCGGTTGGAATGAAAGAACCACAAATCATGCTTACAAGACCATTCTCAATCAGAGGACAAAGGTGAATTATATCAGACCTTTGAGCCAGGATCTTTTCATCAAAATTGTTGATTTTCCAAGTGTTTACAACCGTCCTTCTCACTACTATCCGATCGGTATGTTTCCTTTTAATAATATTCGGTTTTTGTATAAAATGCATACGTCTCTTTTTGTTTTTCATGTATTCAAAACCAAATAAAATAAAGTTATGTTATATGCATTGATTATTTGCTTTTTATTCAGATTTGATGGGTATTTTTGATAAGGAGATTGGCAATGTTGTTGAAAATTGTAATGATGAGAACAGTGTTCCAACCCTACATTTTCGTATCAGTGTATTTGATTTTATGATTATAGAAATTTCTATTTAGTAAGAATTTTTCTTTATCTCTAGGGGTAACACACTGAACTGTGTCGCACATGGTGATTTGGCTTATGATATCAAGGAAAAATCAAACTGCGAATTACTTAAAGGACCATATCCCATATGTGTATTGACTGATTGGGTTGTTAAGAAAAATGAGAGTAAGTAGCCATTATGTATTTATTGTTGCTTTGATATTTTAATTTTTAATCAAATTGTTTTATTCCTTATATTTTTTTTTTTTTGTTTATATAGATGAAATTACAATCACTGATTTTGAAGAAGGAAAGCTCTCACGTTTCTTGGTTCATCCAGATATTGATGAAGTAAACGATCTCCGTGCCAAGTAATAATTTCTCTTACCTTACTAATCACATTTTCAATTTCTTTTAGTTATCCTTACTTATTTTTATTTTATGTATGTGTTCAGGATTTGGAAATAGCTAAGGGATTCGGCCCACAATGCTTCATCTTCTTGAACAAGAGATGTGTAGTTTGATTTCATCAAATCCTGAACTTCTCTTTCTTAACTATCTTTAATTTCATGTCAGTAATCAAAAGGAGTGATGTCATCCTTCTTTGTTGAATGTTAAGACTTATGTTTTATTTCTCGGATTTCTTTGAAGTTACACTTTGAACTGTTACCTTTTATATTATAACTATTTTAAATATATTTTATGTTATCATAATTATTATGATTTGCAAAAGATTATAATTTATGCGAACTAAATGATCTTATAAATCGAATACAATCGTTCATTTATAATTTTACTTTATTAACAAATTTGTTATTCAATTTAATTTTAGTACTTACGATGTAACCACAAAAAGAATTAATAAGTTAATTAATAATGGATTTATATTAAATTATTATGTTAAATAATTAATGGAGATATTTGATAATATACTAATAAAGTTAACGTTTGTTATTTGTTCTTATTTGGTCTTTACATAAACAAAGATACTTATGCTGTGCTATATCTCCAATTGTTTGTCTTCTTATATTTCAGCATTTTGAAAATATAATGACTAGATTTCCGAAAGAATTTAGATATGATAGTAATATTATTAGAAACTTTATGTTTATGGTTTAGCATTCCTTAAATTAATCATTGTTAATATTTGATTACATATTCTATAATCATCCTTTCTTATTTACGCGAGATAACACATATAATGAATATATATGTAACAAATCATTTTAATAAATAATTACGAATACGACTTCCATATATTTGTCATATTACTTATTTGAGGTTGCACAAAATATACGTTAATATTTAATTCTATAGTCTGTTAAATGTATCGTAACTACCTCAACAAAACTATGAAAATATTCTTAAACAATATAGAGAATCTTAATATATGTCATCTAAGATATAACTAACAAGATACAGATTTCTTAAATCACTGACTGTTGCAAATTTTTTTACAATTCTTCGTATATACTCAAATAATTTTGGGACGTCGCATCTTTAATTTACTAACATACTCCTATATAAACCTTTGCTGCAAACCAGTTTATTCATCTTTAATCGAAAACTCAAACAAAATGCATGAATACCAAATGGTGCATGAGTTACAATCTTGGGAGGATGGTTGGACAATTAAGGTGAAGATTTTAAAGAGATGGGGGGCTTTTGATGCTGACGGTCTTCGTGTGATGAATTTCATATTGGTTGATAAGAATGTAAGTTTGATACTCATCTCTATCAATGTTTCATATTATTACTACTTCATTTCGTTTTGCTACTAATGTTTTATATCAATTACCCTAACAGGGTTGCAGAATTCCTGCCTACGTTGGTAACCTCAATCTATCCTATTTCGAATACGTTTTGCAAGAAGGAAATTGGGTGCATTTATCCAAATTCAAACTAATTCCTTCTAAGTGGGAAGGACGGACTACAAGACACGTTAAGCAAATAATTTTAGATGGTGAAACTAAGGTCAGTGCCATCCGACCTTTGACTGGAGATCCTTTCCTTCGTTTTGTTGATTTCAGCCGTGTTTACAATAAGCCTTACAGACACTTCTACCCAGTTGGTAAGTATTAACATTTATCTTTATTAATTATGTATTTAACTATGTTAGGGTTATAGATTATAGTATTGTATGATTAATTGTGTAATATTGATCAGTTGTGGTACTACAATATTTTTTATACCAGATTTGATTGGTATTCTGGATCATGTCGACAATATGGTAACAGTTATTTATCCCGATGACAAAAGTGTTCCAACACTGAGATTCCGAATTAAAGACCTGGAGTAAGTAATATAATGGTTTCATGTTTTTATATCATTATTTGAGATACAATATAATCATAATAATTATAATGTGTAGGAATTGTACTCTTAACTGTGTTGCACATGATGATTTGGCTTACGAGATAGATAGGAAATGCAAAGGTCCTGTAGGGAAAAGTCCATTTGCTATCTGTGTCTTAACTGATTGGTTGGTTAAGAAAAACATTGGTGCGTTTATATGATTTTCATATTTATAAGACAACCTTATACATAGTCAAAACTTGATTTCCTTATCTTATTTATATATTAGATGAAATGACAATTGAAAATTACAAAGAGGGATCGCTTTCACGTTTTGCTATTGCCCTGCCATTGGATGAAGTCAAAAGCTTTGGGATCAAGTAATAATCGTTATTAACATTCAATAGTTTTAGATTATGATTTTTTTTACTGACTAATTACATGAAAAATATTCTTCTCAGGCTTGCAAAGAAGATAACAGAAGTATACGTGAGTGCTTCAAGTTCTCAAGGAAGAAAGTATTAGGACTTATTTTATGCTATCTTATAATTTATATTCTATTTAGGGTTTTGTTAGGAGTGGTGTTCTCCTAAGTTTGTTTCAATAAAGACTTTGTTTCTCTTCCTACCATATTTAATTTGATTTCAATAAAGTGTATTATTTGGATATTAATTTTTTGCATTATTTGTTAGTCATATATTTTTCCTTTTTATTCGCTGATGAGTAGTAGAAATTTAAAATAGACATGTATTACCAATCCTTAACACGCAACCAACATAAACAAGTTTTATTCTGTTATATTACACAGTTTATATATATTGTTGTACTTCTATATAAATAGTACTATCATATCACCAATAAATAAAAAAAAAATCACTTAGATTTAATCAAAAATAATAAATGAATTTATTAATGAATTTTTAGTTTCTAAACT